TTGATGACCCTTGAAATTTAATTTTTAAAAATCCTAGAAAAAAAATTCTTTAAAATTTTACTCACCCGAATTCTCGTAACCACTCCTATCTTTGTTGTACGGAATCCTGGCCACTTCATCTCTTTGAAATGGATATTCTGAATTATCCTGTGAACCGCTGGCGCCCATAAATTCTTCATCTGTAAAGTTCCCCGTAACAGGAGCTGCAAGAAGAAGGGAATGAAGAAAAAATTTGCCATACAAAATCTTAAAATATATTAAACTACGGATTTTATTGCTCTTCAACATTTAAATATTTTGCCAAAAAAAAAGAAGAAGGAAGGAAATTTTCCTCTCAATATCCTTTTTCATGTTAATTTCCCAGCTCAACTGACGGACGGCAGCTGAGTCCAGTCATGATTTCCGAGACTTAAATTTTTAAAATATTCAATGTCAACATTTGTTTTTTATTGTTTATGCAGAAGCAGCAGCAACATCAGATCGCTGGAGATTTTCTTTTTGCCTAGCTTTTCCATTGACTTGACATTGTCGTAGCAGCTTGAAGGAATTTCAAGGAATCTTACAAGTTATTCACGCTTCTGGGTACTTCCCCCTTTTTTTGCTTTTTGTTGCTGCTGTGGTCCTTCTTGGAAAACGACTTTGTTGCTTTTGTTTTGTCTGAGTGTCGGAAGACTAACGATTATTTACATTTAGTTTGCATATATTTACACTTTGAAGTATTTAACTATGCGAGCTAGGGTGACAGAGGGTGAGGTGGGCAAGAGGGGAATTTTTAAAATATTTTCCGGCAGTTTATTTATGTTTAAAGGACATTTATCATGGATTTCTCCAAATCAAGGGGAGTGTTAGGCAATCAGGGCAATACATTTAAAAGACAATTTATAAAGGAGACAAATAAACAAATCCATTCCTCTTTGGCAGCCTTGAAAAATATTTTTAAAAATCACTGCCTGGACCCTTGAAAAAATATTATTTAATAAATCCACGATTTGTATGGACGGACCCTTGAAAAAATATTCTTTAATAAATCCACGCCTGGGATAGGCCTTGAAAAAATATTCTTTAATAAATCCACGCCTGGGATAGGCCTTGAAAAAATATTCTTTAATAAATCCACGCCTGGGATAGGCCTTGAAAAAATATTCTTTAATAAATCCACGCCTGGGATAGGCCTTGAAAAAATATTCTTTAATAAATCCACGCCTGGGATAGGCCTTGAAAAAATATTCTTTAATAAATCCACGCCTGGGATAGGCCTTGAAAAAATATTCTTTAATAAATCCACGCCTGGGATAGGCCTTGAAAAAATATTCTTTAATAAATCCACGCCTGGGATAGGCCTTGAAAAAATATTCTTTAATAAATCCACGCCTGGGATAGGCCTTGAAAAAATATTCTTTAATAAATCCACGCCTGGGATAGGCCTTGAAAAAATATTCTTTAATAAATCCACGCCTGGGATAGGCCTTGAAAAAATATTCTTTAATAAATCCACGCCTGGGATAGGCCTTGAAAAAATATTCTTTAATAAATCCACGCCTTGTATGGACGGACCCTTGATAAATATTTTTAAAAATCCACGCCTGGGAACCTTGAAAAAATACGCCTCTTTGGTAGCCTTGAAAAAATATTCTTTAATAAATCCACGCCTTGTATGGACGGACCCTTGATAAATATTTTTAAAAATCAAGGCCTGGACCCTTGAACCAATATTTCTTAACGCCTCTTTGGTAGCCTTGAAAAAATATTCTTTAATAAATCCACGCCTGGGATAGGCCTTGAAAAAATATTCTTTAATAAATCCACGCCTGGGATAGGCCTTGAAAAAATATTCTTTAATAAATCCACGCCTGGGATAGGCCTTGAAAAAATATTCTTTAATAAATCCACGCCTGGGATAGGCCTTGAAAAAATATTCTTTAATAAATCCACGCCTGGGATAGGCCTTGAAAAAATATTCTTTAATAAATCCACGCCTGCGATAGGCCTTGAAAAAATATTCTTTAATAAATCCACGCCTGGGATAGGCCTTGAAAAAATATTCTTTAATAAATCCACGCCTGGGATAGGCCTTGAAAAAATATTCTTTAATAAATCCACGCCTGGGATAGGCCTTGAAAAAATATTCTTTAATAAATCCACGCCTGGGATAGGCCTTGAAAAAATATTCTTTAATAAATCCACGCCTGGGATAGGCCTTGAAAAAATATTCTTTAATAAATCCACGCCTGGGATAGGCCTTGAAAAAATATTCTTTAATAAATCCACGCCTTGTATGGATGGACCCTTGAAAAAATATTTTTTAATAAATCCACGCCTTGTATGGATGGACCCTTGAAAAAATATTTTTTAAAAAATCCACGCCTTGTATGGATGGACCCTTGAAAAAACATTTTTTAAAAAATCCACGCCTTGTATGGATGGACCCTTGAAAAAATATTTTTTAATAAATCCACGCCTCAGTTGGCCCTTGAAAAATATTCTTTAATAAATCCACGCCTTGTATGGACGGACGGACCCTTGAAAAAATATTCTTTAATAAATCCACGACTTGTATGGACGGACGGACCCTTGAAAAAATATTCTTTAATTTTTCCTTCTTAAATTATTCCCTCCTAGAGATTAGTTGCAGTTGTCCTCTTATCCCCCCGTAGCTATATTTCATTTGTTCGCCGAACAAATATGATATTAAGGGAAAATGTGCAGAAAAATGAACAGCAACAATACCAACAACAAAAATATATCCTTCATAAAATTTTACTTTTAATTTATTCTGCTCTATTAAATCTTTAATACCCAGCAGTTCGAACAATCACAAGCTATGTGCAGGGGTTTTAATGTATTCTTCGTCGTACTTTTTCCGTTCATATTCTTCTTAACCGTGTTTTTCGTTTCATTCTTGTTGTTGTTGCTCATTTTTGTTTTAATATTTGTTGTTGGTGTTGTTCACTTGCTCTGTTCTGCTCAGCCCTGCACTGCACTCTCTCCTGCTCGTGCCATTTTTTCTTTCAATAACTGAACAATACCTAAAATCAATTTTTACTATCAATGCTGAAGCTGTTGTTGTTGGTTAAATTGGTGGGGGCCGAAGCAAGACGAGAATGCACCATTGCCGAGCAATTTGTTTTCGTTGCCGAGACTCTGGCAAAGGAAGGCGATGCTGTTGCAATTCTGTCATGGTAACAAAAGAACTTAACTGTTTTAATATTCGTTCAATGATGATAGTTACTAAATTACTTTTGTTGTTGTTGGTGCTGTTGTTCGGTCGTTCAGTTATTGGTGTGAGTGTGAAAGAAGTGACGTTGGCATTGTTCAGTGTGTGTGCTGTTGCTGCTACCGCCTCTGTTCGTGAAGATTATTGCTGTTATATGCAATTGTGCATGCTATGAATAGCATATTTTCAGGCGCACAATAAGTACAGATGGCAGTCGACAGGCGTGGATTTATTAAAGAATATTTTTTCAAGGGTCCATACAAGGCGTGGATTTATTAAAGAATATTTTTTCAAGGGTCCATACAAGGCGTGGATTCATTAAAGAATATTTTTTCAAGGCTCCAAAAGAGGCGTGGATTTATTAAAGAATATTTTTTCAAGGCTCCAAAAGAGGCGTGGATTTATTAAAGAATATTTTTTCAAGGCTCCAAAAGAGGCGTGGATTTATTAAAGAATATTTTTTCAAGGCTCCAAAAGAGGCGTGGATTTATTAAAGAATATTTTTTCAAGGCTCCAAAGAAGGCGTGGATTTTTCAAAGAATATATTTTCAAGGCTCAATAGTAGGCGTGGATTCATTAAAGAATATTTTTTCAAGGGCCAACTGAGGCGTGGATTTATTTAAGAATATTTTTCAAGGGCCAACTGAGGCGTGGATTTATTTAAGAATATTTTTTCAAGGGTCCGTCCATACAAGGCGTGGATTTATTAAAGAATATTTTTTCAAGGGTCCGTCCATACAAGGCGTGGATTTATTAAAGAATATTTTTTCAAGGGTCCGTCCATACAAGGCGTGGATTTATTAAAGAATATTTTTTCAAGGGTCCGTCCATACAAGGCGTGGATTTATTAAAGAATATTTTTTCAAGGGTCCGTCCATACAAGGCGTGGATTTATTAAAGAATATTTTTTCAAGGGTCCGTCCATACAAGGCGTGGATTTATTAAAGAATATTTTTTCAAGGGTCCGTCCATACAAGGCGTGGATTTATTAAAGAATATTTTTTCAAGGGTCCGTCCATACAAGGCGTGGATTTATTAAAGAATATTTTTTCAAGGGTCCGTCCATACAAGGCGTGGATTTATTAAAGAATATTTTTTCAAGGGTCCGTCCATACAAGGCGTGGATTTATTAAAGAATATTTTTTCAAGGGTCCGTCCATACAAGGCGTGGATTTATTAAAGAATATTTTTTCAAGGGTCCGTCCATACAAGGCGTGGATTTATTAAAGAATATTTTTTCAAGGGTCCGTCCATACAAGGCGTGGATTTATTAAAGAATATTTTTTCAAGGGTCCGTCCATACAAGGCGTGGATTTATTAAAGAATATTTTTTTTTCAAATCTTTTTCCATTCATCAAAGCTTCCCTGTTCTTAGATGAGTGTTTTTTATTGAACATCGAAAAAAAAAACAAAACGATACACGGAAAAACGAAATTATTTCAAAATACTTAGAATAAGACAAAGGGATATCCCATTTAATTTTGCTCAGAAGATAATATTGCAAAATAAGTTAGCATTTCATACGGAAAAACTAATAACAATCGAATAGAATGACGATGACGACGATTGATATATGCAGTAGCATTGAGATAATGGGGCATGTGTGGAACTATGCTAAGATATGAACAAATATTTTCACACTGAAACACACACACACACACTTATGTGATGGTGTGTGTGTTTTAAAAAAGAAAATGAGTTTAGAATTTGCCATATATGAATATTTGAAAAAGTAAAATCACGCAAGTGGAGCTTAAAGTGGGTGAGCGGAATCGGGCACAAGCGATGCGCACAATTTAAGCCAACAAAGGAAAGGATTTTTTGTCGTTGTTGTTATTACAGAAAGCAATAACGCTAATGGAACTATGTGCTTGAATCGTAATCGTTGTTTTACTTCGCATAGTTAGTACCTTGAACAGAGAGAGAGAGAGGAAATCTCACCGAGCGTTCATCCTAATTTCAGTTCGCCGTTTTTTTATTTGTTTGACGTTCTTTTTTTATCAATTGATCATCTATCTATCCATCCATTCAGCCATCGACGATTCGTTCTTAATCTAATCGAAGTAGTGTGCGTTTTGTGCATTACTTTTACTGCTGCTGTTCACTCATTTCATCAATTTCCATTTCATTCCATTAGATATTTTTGTGCAGCAAATCAATATTCATTTTCATTTACTGTATGGCAATTTCCAAAGCTACGCCCCCTCCCCCATCCGCCTTTGGAACAGTTTTATCTGCTGGCATTTTTTCATGCATAATCTTTACTAATTGAATTTTCAAGATTTACAAAGTAGTTACGATATTCCTCTTTACTTGGCGTTTTTTCTGTTTTGTTCTCAGATGTGCTGTTTTTTCCTCTCATTCCTCCAGTGCATTAATAATCAGCAAAGATACTTTGAATATTAAGTGAGCTGGATAGGCAAAAAACAACGAAGAAGTTAAATCTGAATAAATTTAAGAATTATGAAAAATATTCTTTAATAAATCCACGCCTCAGTTGGCCCTTGAAAAATATTCTTTAATAAATCCACGCCTCAGTTGGCCCTTGAAAAATATTCTTTAATAAATCCACGTCTCAGTTGGCCCTTGAAAAATATTCTTTAATAAATCCACGCCTCAGGGAGACCCCCAAAAATATTCTTTAATAAATCCACGCCTTGCAGAGAGCCCTAAAAAATATTCTTTAATAAATCCACGCCTACTGGAGACCCCCAAAAAATATTCTTTAATAAATCCACGCCTACTGGAGACCCCCAAAAAATATTCTTTAATAAATCCACGCCTACTGGAGACCCCCAAAAAATATTCTTTAATAAATCCACGCCTTGCAGAGAGCCCTAAAAATATTCTTTAATAAATCCACGCCTCAGTTGGCCCTTTAAAAATATTCTTTAATAAATACACGCCCCAAAATAAATCCACGCCTTATCTTCAGGGCAGTTTTTTGAAAAAAATATTCTTTAATAAACCCACGCCTTGCAGAGAGCCCTAAAAAATATTCTTTAATAAATCCACGCCTTGTATAGAGCCCTAAAAATATTCATTAATAAATCCACGCCTTGCAGAGAGCCCTAAAAAATATTCTTTAAAAATACACGCCTTGCAGAGAGCCCAAAAAAATATTCTTTAATAAATCCACGCCTTGTATAGAGCCCTAAAAATGTTCTTTAATAAATCCACGCCTTGTATAGAGCCCTAAAAATGTTCTTTAATAAATCCACGCCTTGTATAGAGCCCTAAAAATGTTCTTTAATAAATCCACGCCTTGTATAGAGCCCTAAAAATGTTCTTTAATAAATCCACGCCTTGTATAGAGCCCTAAAAATGTTCTTTAATAAATCCACGCCTTGTATAGAGCCCTAAAAATGTTCTTTAATAAATCCACGCCTTGTATAGAGCCCTAAAAATGTTCTTTAATAAATCCACGCCTTGTATAGAGCCCTAAAAATGTTCTTTAATAAATCCACGCCTTGTATAGAGCCCTAAAAATGTTCTTTAATAAATCCACGCCTTGTATAGAGCCCTAAAAATGTTCTTTAATAAATCCACGCCTTGTATAGAGCCCTAAAAATGTTCTTTAATAAATCCACGCCTTGTATAGAGCCCTAAAAATGTTCTTTAATAAATCCACGCCTTGTATAGAGCCCTAAAAATGTTCTTTAATAAATCCACGCCTTGTATAGAGCCCTAAAAATGTTCTTTAATAAATCCACGCCTTGTATAGAGCCCTAAAAAATATTTTTTTTTAATCCACGCCTTATATTGAGCCCTGAGAAATATCTTTTAAAACAATTTACAATTTATTTTTACTCAAAATTCCCCGTTGAATGCTATTATTTATTTAAATCCATTTGTCTGCAACTGCTAAGAGTTGACCTGCAGATTTTCAATGGTGGTGTTGAAATACATTTTCAAAATTTGTCACAACAACAAAGCGTGGCAAGTTTGTATTAAACAATTTGTTACAAATGATTGCTACACCAGCAGTCCCACTCCCCTCCACCCCCCATCAAAACGATGAAGTTCACAATGTCATCTTCCGCAAAAATGTTGCCCTCCCCACATAAAAAGAGTATCCTTTTCAGAAAGCCCCTCCCCCCCTCAGAAAAGCTGAAAAGAAGTTCTCTTTGCACTAAAGTATAACTTACCTGATATGAATGTAATCTCACTTAACATGAGCCAACGTGCTGCAAAGTATAAATGCAATTGCAGATATTTGCCCAAACGATGATGTAATTTGATTGTCACGTCTCGGGCGTGATCCAATACAACGTCAGGCATGTACGAGAATTGCACCGGCTCACCGATATACTGGCGTCCACCAATGCTAAAGAAGACCTTGGCATGAACAAATACCTGGAAGAGAGAAAGAGGGGAGACAGGGGTGTTTACTATGGTGGGGAGAATATGCACCGTATTTTTCTTCCGTTCTGTGAAAGTGTCTTTTGGGTTAAACAGGTGCCAAAAGTTATGTTTGTATGACTGGCTGACTGGATGTCTGGTTTTACCACTTCTGCAGAGCCCATTGAGGAGAACTTGCACACGTGTACAAGGCACCGTGAGTGGCATTAACAATTAAATTAAATCACACACATACTCTACTCGGGTATGGGTATGGAGTGATCAGTTGACCAATTGGTGACTTGGACATTGCTCAGTTGGGTGTTTCAATGGCCTGGTCACTTGGTCATTTTAATGGGTTTCAGTTATAACAAAAATGATTCGCAAATGGTATAAAATGTTAAAAGGTTTTTTTGCACAGTGGTTAACAAAAATCAATTACTTAAAAAATCCACGCCAAAAAAAAAAAAATATTTAAAAAATCTACCCCATTCCTAGGTGCCCTTGAATACGCTTTAGAAAAAATTATTTAAAAAATCTACGCCATGCCTAGGTGCCCTTGTCTACGCCTCAGAAAAAATTATTTAAAAAATCTACGCCTTGTCTAGTCCCAAGGACAAATTATTTTAAAAGTCTACGTCCCTCAAAAAATTATTTAACCAGTAAGGAAAGTAGTAAAGTCGGACGGGGCCGACTATATGATACCCTTCACCACTATGGGTATATTAAACAGGACTATTAACATAAAATTGGATGAAAAAAAAATATGTGATATTTATCTAAATGTGAATCTACCTAGATCTATCCATAAAGTATGTCAATCGACTTCAAACAAGTATAAATAGGTCATCCGTTGGACTATGTCGGTACTTCTAGAAAACGCATCTACGCAATTATATGCTCAATTTTGTACGTTGTGCAAAATTTGATGTCAATCTGACTAACATGAGGAGTTTGATGCCCAATTTACTTGAAATCGGGCGAAAATATATATGGAAGCTCTATCCAAATTTTAAGCGATTTCAAACAAACTTGTCACAGGTTAGGTTGTACTAATTTCAGAACGTTTTGTTCCTATTGGTTCCTTAGTACGTCAATTACTTAAAATCAATCAATAATAAAAGGGAGCTATATCTAAATCTGGACCGATTTTCACGAAACTTGGCAGACATCATTCTAGGCTCAATTAAGTACGTTATATCGAAGGATATATAGGGACTTTGGTGCACCATTTACATGAAATCGGACGAAACTATATATGAGAGCTATATCTAAATCTTGACCTATTTTCACGAAACTTGGCAGACAGTACGTTATGCCACATTTCGTGCAAATCGAAAGATATATAGGGACTTTGGGGCACCATTTACATGAACTCGGACGAAACTATATATGGGAGCTATATCTATATCTGGACCGATTTACTCCAAACTTGGCAGATATCACTCTAGGCTTAATTCAGTACACTATACTAAATTTCCAGCAAATCGAATGATATATAGGGACTTTGGTGCACCATTTACCTTAAATCGGAGGAAAATATTTATGGGAGCTATATCGAAATCTGAACCGATTTTCACAAAATTTAACACACATCGTTCTAGACCTAATTCATTAAGCTGCGCCAAATTTCGTGCATATCGAAATATATATAGGGACTTTGGTACACCATATATAGAAAATATATATTGGAGCTATATTTCTGAACCGGTACACCATTTGGACCAAGGGTGATTTTTTTGAGGTTAGGATTTTCATGCATTAGTATTTGACAGATCACGTGGGATTTCAGACATGGTGTCAAAGAGAAAGATGCTCAGTATGCTTTGACATTTCATCATGAATAGACTTACTAACGAGCAACGCTTGCAAATCATTGAATTTTATTACCAAAATCAGTGTTCGGTTCGAAATGTGTTTCGCGCTTTACGTCCGATTTATGGTCTACATAATCGACCAAGTGAGCAAACAATTAATGCGATTGTGACCAAGTTTCGCACTCAGTTTACTTTATTGGACATTAAACCAACCACACGAATGCGTACAGTGCGTACAGAAGAGAATATTGCGTCTGTTTCTGAGAGTGTTGCTGAAGACCGTGAAATGTCGATTCGTCGCCGTTCGCAGCAATTGGGTTTGTGTTATTCGACCACATGGAAGATTTTACGCAAAGATCTTGGTGTAAAACCGTATAAAACACAGCTCGTGCAAGAACTGAAGCCGAACGATCTGCCACAACGTCGAATTTTCAGTGAATGGGCCCTAGAAAAGTTGGCAGAAAATCCGCTTTTTTATCGACAAATTTTGTTCAGCGATGAGGCTCATTTTTGGTTGAATGGCTACGTAAATAAGCAAAATTGCCGCATTTGGAGTGAAGAGCAACCAGAAGCCGTTCAAGAACTGCCCATGCATCCCGAAAAATGCACTGTTTGGTGTGGTTTGTACGCTGGTGGAATCATTGGACCGTATTTTTTCAAAGATGCTGTTGGACGCAACGTTACGGTGAATGGCGATCGCTATCGTTCGATGCTAACAAACTTTTTGTTGCCAAAAATGGAAGAACTGAACTTGGTTGACATGTGGTTACAACAAGATGGCGCTACATGCCACACAGCTCGCGATTCTATGGCCATTTTGAGGGAAAACTTCGGAGAACAATTCATCTCAAGAAATGGACCGGTAAGTTGGCCACCAAGATCATGCGATTTGACGCCTTTAGACTATTTTTAGTGGGGCTACGTCAAGTCTAAAGTCTACAAAAATAAGCCAGCAACTATTCCAGCTTTGGAAGACAACATTTCCGAAGAAATTCGGGCTATTCCGGCCGAAATGCTCGAAAAAGTTGCCCAAAATTGGACTTTCCGAATGGACCACCTAAGACGCAGCCGCGGTCAACATTTAAATGAAATTATCTTCAAAAAGTAAATGTCATGGACCAATCTAACGTTTCAAATAAAGAACCGATGAGATTTTGCAAATTTTATGCGTTTTTAAAAAAAAAAGTTATCAAGCTCTTAACAAATCACTCTTTATATCTAAATCTTAACCTATTTTCCCAATTCCAATAGGTTTCGTCGTTGGGCCAAATAAGTGACTTGTGCCAAATTTCAGCCAAATCGGATCATAATTGCGACCTGTACTTTGTTTACAATTTAACATTGACAGACAGATGGACGGACATGCATAAATCGACTCAGAAAGTGATTCTATGCATATTCTCAAAAGGAACCATGTGTTCATCTCGTTTCCTTTTGCCTGTTACAAACATATGCACAAAGACCTAATACCCTGTGCCACGGTGTGGTGAAGGGTATAATTATTTTAAAAATCTACGTCCCGCAAAAAATTATTTAAAAAATCGATGTCCCCTTAATTTTTCCGGAAGTTTTAACATTCATTGGATTTTCTTTACCAAACACGTTTAGTTAAGTCTCCCGTCAGTTTTCATAATGAATATATTAAAATGGAAAAAATCTCTCTCTCACACACACACATACACTCTCAGACATTGACAATCCCATTATGAAAATGTAACGATAAAAAGAAGCATTGTCACATTTATCCGAAATAAACGGCGGAAATGAAGTGTAATAATAATGCTTGTTCTTCTTCGCTTTCTTCGGTTCTTTTACTCTTTTTTTTTTTTTTTTTGCTTTGCCTACTTTGTGTTCATTTTGGTGCTTTGTTCTTATAAGTGTTCATACGTTTGCTTCCGTCATGTCGCTTCCCATGTTACGACGTATGTCATACGTCATACATATGGGGAAATTAATATTTTTTGTCTTTTTTCATTTATTTCCTATCCCGAACCCCCTCCCCCCCTACTTATTTGGGGTATAATTCGGAGGCATATATTCGACCATGATATTAAGTTCTTTTTCTGTAATATTCATTTATATAATCAAGTGTCTTGTCATTGGATATGTCTCTGTATGTGTGTGAGTCCATATTCAGCGACTGAGAGACACATTCAAGTACTTCGAATGATTTTCTTCTTTTAAACGTTATAATGATATTAATATGCAATGCGTTGATCGCATATTAAAAACCTTAATTTGGTTGTTTATAACTTGCCCGTCATGTTGGCCAGAACCCGCCCACTTGCTGTATGCCCCTCCACCACCCCTTCGGAGTACTTCACAGACCAGTGATTCATAAATGAAGAATAAAAATGCATGAAAAGATATTAACAACAAAAATCCAGTGGCAAGTCACTTGCAATGCATTGGCATTGACAATACCGCGGCTTACAAATACACACTCATAAAGACGCACAAATACAAACACACTCACATTATACGATCAGCCAACCAGGCTTATAGGCTGGCTATATGAAAATATTAATAACATTGTTATTAAACGGCATAAGGAGAGAAATGTTGTATAATTTTGTTGTTGTCGTTGTTGTTGTATTTTTAATGAATAAATTAAAGAGACCACAACAAGGTATGGTAAGGTCTGATCCATTTAATTAATACATTTCCTATTCGTAATAAGATTTTTTAATTTATGATAAGCCAGTTTGTTTGGTTCGGCAAAGACAAGACCAATTTTGTATTCGTTATGGTTTTTGGGTCTCCTCTTTGGCCATAAGAACTTCCTGGGAAGCGGTAGCGCTTTTGAAGCCACGATTAATGCAGGTGTTATGTAGACTCTAGAAAAAAAAATATTTAAAAAATCCATTCAAAACCGATCTATTCAAAACCGATTTTTACATGAGATAAAAAATAACACCATATATGTTGTTAATTATACCCTTCACCACACTGTGGAACAGGGTATTATGTCTTTGTGCATATGTTTGTAACATGCAAAAGGAATCGAGATAGACCCATGGTTCCTTTTGACAATAAGCATAGAATCACTTTGTGAGTAGATTTATGCATGTCCGTCTGTCCGCCCGTCCGTCTGTCGATGTTAAATTGTAAACAAAGTACAGGCCGCATTTATAATCCGAATTGGATGAAATTTGGCTTAGGTCACTTATTTGGTCCAAGGACGAACCCTACTGAAAT